GAGAGAGAGAGAGAGAGAGAGAGAGAGAGGTCTAAAGGTAAGGTGCAAGAATGAGGGAAAGCCTCTTCTTTATATAGGCCTTAGTGGCCCTAAGGTATTCCATTTAGAGTTAGGATTCAATTTGACCTTAGGATTTCCTGGTAACCTGTGACGTGAGAGAAATAAGTTAGAGTAATCCATCCCTAAAATCCACTACTATGATTTTGAAAGGAACCTAGGAACCTCATCCCCTAAATCTTTGACCCATATTCATTTTTAGTTTAAAAGAAACTAGATCTTCCATAGACCCATAAAATTTGGACTCTTACTCACAAGAAATCAAAGTCAACACGAATAATCCAATTCAAAGTCCAAAAGTCATCGTCAAAATTCAAAGTCATAAGAATATATTTTCAATCAACTAAAACTAACAAAAATATTTCACAATCTCTTAGAGAAGGTTTCCTAGACAAGTGGGAAACCTTTCTCCTCTCCAATGTACAGGGTGTAGCCCTTGTGGACGCCACATTCCACATCATGTGGGACACCCACGTGTGGAAGAGGGGTAAGACCTCAACTAAAAAACAAAAAAGTGGGTTCCACCTTGCCCTACTAACTTCTAAAATTTCCACAGTGTTTCAAACAGCGCTAGGAGGATCCTAGGCGGCCTGGGGGGTCCAAGATGCCCAGCGCCTAAGCGGGCGCCCAAAACCTGGGCGACCTTGTCGAATCCAAAAATGATGCCCATTTGAATAAAAAAAAGATATATAGTATAAAAAGTAAAAATTAGGTATTTAGGGCACTTACTTTGAGTTTGATTGCTCAATCTTCAAACTTCCACCTCAAAGATACTTCTAAGGACTCAAAATCTTCTAAAAAAACCCCCAATAGATTTATAAAATATCAAAAATTAAATCTAATATCAATGGGTAATGTTTTGATCAATTTCCCTCGATCCTAAAGAAATCACCAAAAACTAGTTTTTTGGAGACTTTCTCTCTCTAAAATGGGCTCCAATAAGGTTTAGGTTTCAAATGAACTTAAAACTATCCTTCTATCCCTTTATATTTTAAAAAAAATTAATATAAAAAAAAAAATTCTCCCTCTGAGCGGGGCGCCCGCCTAGGCGGGTTCCGTACCGCTTAGTCGGCCGCCCAGGGACTACCGCCCAGATTGGCCACCTAGGCCTGAGCGATGCGCCCACGCCTTCTGGACCGCCTAGGCGTTGGGCGGTCCGCTTTTTGAATCACTGAATTTCCAAAATGCTCTTTTAGAGTTTTAGTGCATAGAATAATTTTTAAAAACTCCGGAAAAAAATTTAAAATCATTTGAACATAAATAACGTTCAATACAATAATTATGAAATTCTTAAAATTTCTAAAACACTCAAAAAGAGTTGCAAGTGTATTGGTACCAATGGATCAAGAAAGTGACTGTCAGGGCACTCCACCCATGCTAGAAACTATGATCCACAACTGTCTTTTTAAACCAACCGAACAGGACCCATGGACCACAGTCATGCGCAAGGGCTCATGATTGGCCCGTCCAAATTTGACCAATAAATAATGGAACCTTAGCACAAGTATGTGGATTACATGTTCCCTCCTAAGTGTTAGTCACATGGACATTGTGTAAGGGGAACACTCTATGCATATGTACACATATCACTCCACAGGACTACTTCCCAAAATACGGTTATCATATGTACAAAACGTGCAAAAGTTTGTTGAAACTTCAGTCATCGCTCTCATAAGCTTACAACTGCATACAGGAAACCACGAAACCCTCCAGACCTATAAACGTCATTCTTGGGCATCTCTCCGAACTCAAAAGGGGATGATTCTCCACTAAACCTTCAATAGTTGTGCCCACAGACTGCCCAGCCCTAGGGGGACAGCGTTTTGGACATGACCTAGCCCACAAACCGCCCAGCCCTAGTTGAGTCAAACAACATACAATCCCACTAAAGCACACTATTCCCTATATTGATTATTTTTACATGCTCTCACATGGTTTAAAAGCCACAAACCCCCAACATCTCCTAACTAGCCTTTGAAGGCCTTACATTTGCTCCTCTCTCTCTCTCTCAAGCTCATCCCATGTACATGCTTTGTAAACACACTTTCCACTTAGTCAAAGGATCTGCTAACATAGCCTTTGTCAAGAGATAAGCGACCTCGATTTCATCTTGCTCGAATCTCATTGCAAAAGCAGTAATAGTTCGCCTTTATGTGCCTGGATTTCTTATAAAACTGTGGCACCTTCGACACAAAAATCATTGCCTGGTTGTCGCAAAAGTTCGTCACACATGTGCACTTTACTACATTTGAGCTGATTTAGGAACTTGTCCAACCAAACGTCTTCTTTTGCTGTGAGACAACAACCACATACTCTGACTCCATAGTTGAGAGTGCAACGATGTACTGGTTCCTTGGGCACCAAGAAACAGCTCCACTGGCAAGTGTAAAGATATAACCAGATGTGGACTTCATTTCTTCTGGATCGCCCTAGAAGTCCATATTTGAATATCCTCATATTTGAATCAAGCAATATCCACGAAACTAGTAGAAACTTTATGCTAGAGACTACTATTTAGTAAATAAGACTGTTGTAGAGATGAAGAGTACTAGGACACTTTGTGAAAGTAAGAAATCATATATTATCATATTGATCCTCTATACCTGATGGTGAAGACCACAAACCATGACCCAAGAATCTCATTAATCCTCTCCAAAGGTGAAATATCAAAGGTACTTGAATAGTGATAAAAACAAAGATAACAATTTAGAAGAAGAGAATCTTGGGATTATTGTCAACATAAGGAATTACAATCAACTAGTGTTGCAAGGGTATTAAACAATTAGGCTATAAAGATTTTTCAATAGCATATGGTCATCTACCACATTGTCGCCTAGGCTGAATCTATACCCCGTTTCTGAAATAATAGGAGATAACTAGGGGATTATGGCAGTATTTGGTGAAGTCTACTCCATGTTTTCTCATAAATCCTACTATATATATGATGCTTTTCAATGCATTCCATGTACCTAAGGACCAAAGCATAGGGGAAGTTAGCAAGCCTAGGTTGTGATAGTTTTGATTCATTCCCAACAGAATGTCCTTCGTTAGTCAGGTTTTCAATTTAATTCCTTTCAATATAAACAACGGTTTATCACTTATCAACAAAAGAAAAAGTCTCGCGGTTACTAATAGAAGAAATGAGAGTATCAATATGATAACTTCAATTGACCTCTTATAACAAAATCAGTATATAATGTTTACAAGGTCACATGTAACTTCAACCACACCTATCCAAGTGAATTGCAAGAGTAGGTATGCGCAATATAGGTTCTTCAATTCTGACAAGCCTATGAACGTAGGAAACATGCCCATCTTTCTCTTTCTTTATCAACATTCGTCCAGCAACAGTTAAGTCTCGATCAAACCATGTATGCCACAAACCTCCGCCATATGTTTGGACACCAACTTCCAGGTACCCTCCTTTAGTTACCTAACAAGACGAGATCGATTTTCAGACGAGATAATATCCTAAGAGCTGAGGAAATTTACCTCCCTTAAAACAAATCATACACACGTACACAGATTACTTTGCAGTTTAAAAAAAGGAATCAATAAAATCTTTCAATTTTCAGACAAGATAATATCCTAAGAATAAGAGCTGAGAAAATTTACCTCCCTTATAACAAATCATATACACCTACACAGATTACTTTGCAGTTTAAAAAAAGGAATCAACCAAAACTTAGATACAACCAGTAAAATTGAGCAGAAAATATTTATCTATAAACAATCTATCACAAATTATTTAGAATCTTGAACTAAATCCCTCCCATAAGCAACGAAAATGGGATTCCAAGAGACTATGTTTTCATAGTTGCAATGGAATAGAAAACAACACAAAGAGATAAAGTTGCAACATTAATCAGATATGTGTACCCAAAAGCAATGCAAGAAATACCTTAAAATAAGTAACTATGCTACTGTGTTTGTTGAAAAGAGGACCAGTATATAGGTGAGGTAGCTAGGAATAATATTGACTATGTATCCCCAATTTTTAGGACTAAGCTGCAGTCCTTCCCTTTCATCGTTCCTCTGTATGATTAAATCAATATGTGCTGCTATCAGGGGATTATTTTCTCTGTTTTATCATGTGACACTGTGGAAAGCAACAAGTTGTCACCCTTATCCTCCAAATCCTGCTCCAAAAGTGCGAACTATTTTCTAGAGGCATGGAGTAGGAGAGACAATATGGAAGGAATGGTTGTTTTCAGAATTGTCAACAAAAAAGCACGAATGGGTCTTCCATAATCAAAAAGCTCTAGGGGAAAATGGAGAAAAATAGCAATGCTGAAGTAATAAAATCTGGATCTAGGTGAACATTGAGAATTGGTGGAATGCATCCAGTGAAGGGCTTCTTTAAGAGGGAGGAAACTGACATGGCAGAAGAAAAACATACGACGGGAAGAATGGAGAAACTCATGGGGTGTACACAAAGTCAAGGTCCATCATAAAGTGAAGGAGGCACTTCAAAGAAAGTAAATATTTCTAGAGAGGGAGGGGAAAATAGTTCAAGAGTCATGCCAGTTACGATGAACAATTTCTTTTGCTTCTGATTGAGAAATCTTTTCCCATACAGCATGATTATCCCTTTCTATGGAGGTTGCTGTTCAAAATCAGATTAGTTTGCGGTTGGGGTTTCAAACCCTTGACCTCTTCCATACAATTTCTGTGTCAAAATGTTGTACCAAAGGCCTCATCGATTTGAGTTGGTGGTTTAGGAAGCAGGCAGCTACTAGACAATAAGTTCTTGGGAATTTGCAGTTGAGTTATGCTTGTTGGTGAGAATTTGGAAGTGGCATAGTAGTCAGGGAGGACCTGTTTTTAGGAAGTGGAGTTTTTCGAAACATAAAAGAGAAAAATTGTCCTCAGGATTGTCCACTCCCATAAGGATAACATAATCTCCTACAAGTGGCAACAATAAAAGCCTTAAAAGTCTTAGATATGTTACATATTTCATTCAGACCTGCTGGTACCATTACATGCCAGAATCACAGCTCTTGCTCTTGCACCTTACAGTATTTCTTTTGTAAATTCCATCCTTGTTCAAATGAAAGCCAAAAAGAAAAATGTGTGGGTTGCGGTCTTTTAAAGTTATGTAAAGGAAAATGCATGTCATCAAATGAACACGTGCAGTTCAATATCAGATATTTGGGATAGTGAATATTACAAATTTGATCCAAATCAATTAAATTTGGGATATGTATAGATGACACATTCTCAGCTTAGAAGCATGTGTATTCAACCATTTTTTATTATATTGGTTCCGTTGATATTTGGAGCCCAAGAGTTGAAATAGTATTTATTCATCTGACCCTCTGTATGATTCACATTAAACCTTAAGCCAATAACCCATTTTTAAATTCTCTCACAAATAGCAGCACACTATTATGCATTCTGTCACTTTCTTGTATAAGGATAACCCGATGTTAATTTTTAGCCATGATAAATACACAGTCCAAACCACAAGTTTATTCACAGATAACATTAGCAAACAAGAGTAGAGGCACAGAGGACTTTTCTTGATTTATTCGTGTCAGACGATGCCGCCATCAACCAAGGAGTATAACCTTTCACCCTTGTCCAATATTGGTGCTTCAAGTTGCATTTCAAAGATCTTTCAATTATAAATGAAGGCTATTTCAAGGGTTTTTCATAATTTTCTGTTTTGGGCCTCAAATCTTCTTCTTTTTTTTCTTAATTTTGTTGTTCTGGGCCGCAAAACTTAGTTTAAATATAGGCCTGGAAATAGTGATACATTTTAGGACTAATTAGACATTTTTGGTATTTACTAGCGATCAGAAGTATTTTAAAGTTTTAAATTATTCATTTGGATCTTAAGTCAGGTTTAGGGTTTTATATGCCTTGGGACCTGGCAATCGTGGATCCTAAAGAGGACCTTGGGGTGACCGGTGGAATGTAGTCGACAAGCATAGGACCGTGGTGCATGACCAAAGGAGTGGTGCGTGACCGAGAGATGTAGGCACGCGACTAGAGACCGGTGATGCATGACCAAGGATGTGCGACACTTTACCTTTGTTAGTATGTTTTTCTGTTGTGTGGTAGTATGCAGTATAGTTGTTGGAAACGTCTGTAATTCCGAATCGTTTATGGAATCGGAATCATGGAATCGTGTGTATCAGAAGTTTCGGAATCTATGAATCGTTGTCCGTATGATTCGGATTTGAGAAAAATAATTCTCTCTTTTTTAGAATGGCGATTCAAAAAATTAAGAATCGTGTTTTCTATTTGCAAGAATCGATGTCCCTTCACGTTGGAATCGCTTTCATACCTATATGGAATCACATATAACCCCACTTATTTCGGTGGTTGCTGGAATCGTGATTCTTAAAAATATGGAATCATGATTCCTAAACATAAGGAATCATGATTCCTAAAATTCTAGAATCGTTGTCCCCATCAACTTGGAATCAACATTCTCACCATTCCGTAATCGTGATTGTCCCCATATTGGAATCAAGATTCTCCCCTCACTAGAATTGCGAACCAATTCCCTCCAGTATATGAGAGAAATATTCAGAAAATATATAAATTTACCCATTACTACAAGATCGAATTTTGGTCTATATATACTCAGTCTAAGACTCCAAGTACTAATGTCAACCTTTATGATATCTTTGTGGACAATCCCATACAATGGACTCGGTCTACTGATAACCCCATTATGCCTACAAGGTCTGGAGCTAGTCTACAGCATACAAGGAGTGAGAACAAGGGCAAGCTTCCTTTACCTCCTTTCTTTGAATTATAAACTAAGTACATGACATAGTAATTTTTCTTTGTTAAATGTAGTTTTGAGTCTTTTGACTTTTGAAAATTGAGTTACTCAATTTTTAGTCAATTTCTCTGATATCTAATGATTAATTTAACCTAAAACACCACACAGGGCACTTTGCTCATATCCTTGTTATCTTCTCATTTTACTTAAAGAAGAGCATTTTTATCCTCTTATTCAACTTGAAGAAATGACGGTGCCGATCATATATTAAACATTATTACATTAGTAATTTAGTACCCACACCATTTACCAAACATTATTAAATTGGAAGTAACATTTTTTTAGTTTTATTTATTCTTGGTAAGAGCTCTTAAAACGTAACATGGAATGAGAAATGGAAATTAGTAAATAAGAAAATAAAAAATTTACATATTACTTATAATTTAAATTTTGATTTTATTGCCGTGTGCAACAACTTCAAATTCTCTCACACTCTCATACATGTCACACTCACTCATGATTGAGCACACATAGAAGGGTTTCTGCTCTCCCTATGCGCACAAATTACCATAGTTTAAATTTTGATTTATTGCTATGTACAACAACACGCTCTCATACATGTCGCACTCACTCATGAATTAAGCACACATCGAAGAGTTTCTGCTCTCCCTATGCTCACATTGCTTCTTGACAATATGGATTCGCAATTCCTTAATACTTTGAATCAACGTTTAGCATAAGTAGAATCGCATTGTTGTGTAGTAAGGCATCACGATGTCTGCGATATAGAAACTTGATTTCAAACAACATGGATTCGTAATTCCAAAAATTTGGAATCAACGTTTCTCACAAGCAGAATCACATTCTTGTATAGCTAAGAGTGATAAAGTCCTCGATATGGAATCTTGATTCTGGCAATCCAGGAATCGAGATTCCTAAACTTAATGGAATCGTGTTCCGCAAAAAATGGAATCGTGATCCGCAAAAAATGGAAACGTGATTCCTTTCTTTTAGAATCAACTTTCGCATGGGGAAACACCGAATCGAGATTCCGAAACGGAATCGCTACCCTCATAGGTGATTCAGGTAACTATAGTATGGAGTGAAGCTGAACTTGGCATCCAAGTATGCACCGCTTGGGCGCCAAGGTCGCACAGGCTAGACAATGAAAACGTCCCCATGAGGTCTGAATCCACAGGTTTGAGTGTGGGGACTAGAAATTTCACTAGCCATCATGTTAAGCATTTTGAGCGGCGAGCAGATAAGGGGAAACCTTTGAAGGACATTCTACAAAGGTGAGGTGGAAGAGAGACGGCCCTTGAGCTAACGATAGGCTATTAAAGCCTCCAATCAAATTAGACATCCTATTAATGACCATCTCAGATAGTTGGAATAATAAGGCTTGGATGACAATGATGATTAGTGACCATCTGAAATACGTTGAAGAAGCACACAGTAAGGGTGAATCGTTTAAAAGAAATAGTAAAAGATAAAAAAATAACCCTTTCTATTTTTTTGTTCTACAGTGGAGGACTAATTGCATTGCCAGTTACCGCATTACCATGACCAAAAGATTGATCTAGCCCATTAGAGTAAGGAAGTATGCCAATATTTAGCATTGGCTTTAAAGGCTGTCGATATGCCGCATTGACAGTGGGGAGTTGATAGAACCGATATCTCCCAAAAGTAACTCT